GGGGGGGGGGGGGGGGGGGGGGGGGGGGCTCAGGCGCTCCACAGGTGCTCATTGAAGCACCACTGAGCGCTTCGAGCATGAATAGAGCGTTTGTTGTATACCAAGCATTCCCTCCAGTAACTCTCCCAACAACCCCGTGAGGTAGACTCAGACTAGTTACCAGCAGGCACGGGGGGGGGGGGGGGGGGTTAAACCTGCAGGGCCCCTATGTGCCTTGAACCCTGTCTCTCAGTTAAAACCAAAGGGGAGTGAATTTTTAAGCAGGATTCTATCTTGCCTCCTCCCTGCCCCAACTGACTCTAGACTCCTGACTGTGCTTGACACAACAGAACTGAGAGAAGGTAAATGGATCCCCTAAGTTCAAGGACGAAACGGAGGAGCTATGTGACCTGGGTCAGGTACCCATCCTCTCTGTGCCTAAGTACGGGAGCAGGCCATAGAATCTCAGGGAGCTTGCACTTGCTGTTCCCACCACCTGTTCTCGGCTCTCCTCCCATGACCAGTGCCTTTTTGTCCTTCCAGAGCTGGATTGACTGTGTCCCCTCATTGAGCCCCCCCCCCTCCCCCCGTGGAAAGGTCCCTCGGTGTCCTGGGCTTACTGTGGAATGGGCAGCTCATTTGCCTGGGTCCTCATGGCAGCCTTGCTCCTTGTTCCACCTCATGGCCTCCATGAGGGGCTTTACTGGTTTCTTAAAACCAATAAAGAAGTTCCAAGTCCCCAGAACTACCTCTTCCTGGTCTCCTGGCTTCACCCTGGCCCTCAGTGTTCCAGAGCCCTCTGTCGCTTCCCATCTCAGTCAGGGCCTGCACCAACCCATTTCCTGTCCCCCTTCACTTTGCTCCCATCACCAATCTGCAGAGCCTCTGCATGGGCTGTTCCTCCATCTGAACTCTCCCCCAAGATAGCCGGCTCCCTTGCCTCCCTCAAGCCCTTCTCACACATCACCTTCTTGCCTTCTCTGACCACCTCCACTTCCCACCTTTACTTTCTCCTCCAAAAGCACCTGGATGGGTTGTGGCCCCTGTTCCTCTGTCCTAAGCCAGCCCTCTGCTCCTGCTGTGGCAGGTGGCCTCTCCCACTGAGTGGACAGCAGGCCTTCTCCCGAACCCCCTCCCCTGGCTAAGCAGCCAGCCCTTTGTCCACAGGGGGGTGGCAGAGGACCCCGGGGCACATGCTGAGCCACCGGAGACACTTAGTGCCAATGCCAGGAGGTGCCTGGCACCAAGGTCCAATTGGAGGGTGGGAAGGACAGCTGCTGTCACACCTCCTGGAGGTGGTGGTGGTGGGTTCAGTGCAGGCATCAAGAAAGGATGACTTGGAGGTGTGTGCAGGCAAGGGTGATACAGAAAAGCAACAGAGACACCTCCCAAACAGCTGTATGTATGTCCCAGAAATGGGCTCTTGGTCCCAGGCTAAATCACACCTGAGCGAGTGAGGCTCCCCGATGGCCACCAGGAGCCAACTCCAGGGGGAGGAGGTCACTGCCACATGTGAGGATCCTGCATTGTCTGCGGACAGACCATCAGGACAGGAAGAGTGAGGCCCCTTACTTTTGGTTTCTCTTACTGCGGGTTTGAGGCTGGTTTCTTCAAACCAATAAGGAAGAAGACAAACAGAGCTGTCCTAACAGCCAGCTCCAGACAGGGCATTCAGGAAGCCCAGACACCTAAGTGCAGGGCTAGGGCAATGGCTTATGTCTGGGGTAAGATGACAGGACAGCTAGCCAAGCTGCCCTTTGGAAAGGTCAGGGCCAGGTGGCTGGGGCTAAGGGCAGTGTGGTGAGCAGAGACAGGCTCACATCCCTGAACTTCAGAAGGATACAAGGTGCTGGGCGCCTCCGGACGCTCTTGGTCCAAATCACAGTTAAACTGCCAGGAGCAGGCCTCCAAAAGACTTCCCATCACAGCCCATGGGACACTAGGTCCCAGAGCCCCCATTTCATCAAAGATCCACCAGACAGAACACCTGTGGCAGGAGCCCTGTTCCCAACCCCGCAGACCAGGAACCCAGAGGCCTTCTGTAGAGAGATGATGCTAGGAGAGGTGGCGGTGGGAGCCAGCAGGCACCGACAGGGCCCAGCCTTGCCACCAATACTCCGCTGTTTTGCAAGAACCATTCACACCAGAGTTCACCCAAACAGAGAAGGCGACTGCCTCGAGTAATGTTTGGGTTTTCTTAAGCTTCTCCCCTCTTCTCCAAGGCACCACCATCCACAATGCGTGAAAGTCTTGCCTTTCATAAGAAAATGTAGAAGGACGTGGTAAAAGTCCTGTTGAAAGTGCTTACCCTCGGCGAGATGTGCTGCAGGCCTAGAAAGGAAACTTCCGACAGGGCTGTGACTTACCGAGGATACCACATGCTATCATGTGCCCAGTGGTTCAAAAGAAACTTCGGATTGGTGGTTTGTAGTTGTTTTGTTTTTATTTTTGTAACACAAAAGAGGGAGAAAGGCAAAGGAACGGCCCAACCAAGGCCCCACAACAGCATCTGAGGCACATGTCTGTGTGGATTTGTTATGAAAAAAGTTTCAGGTCTGTCTCAGGAAAAATCCCTGGACTGTCAATCTCAGTGCAAAGACCTTAAAATGAAAACTTCCCATCTGTTTGCCACACAGGGATCCAACAAGAGATACAAAACAAACCTATTTGGAAAATGCCCCCGATAACAGGGGGAAGGAGGCTCTACAGATGCATTCACACACAGAACCTTCCAGGAATCAAGTTGGCTGCGACTTCACAAAATCAAAACCACCAAATAATATTTTCAACTGTAGAAATGCTGGCTTAAGAAAAGGACTTAATGCCCTGGCGGTGTGGCTTGGTTGATTGGAGCACTGTCCTGTACACCAAAAGGCTGCAGTTTCAATTCCCAGTCAGGGCACATATCCAGGTTGCGGGTCCCATCCCCAGTCAGGGTACATGCCGGAGGCAGTAGATTGATGATGTTTTTCTCACATCAATGTTTCTCTCTCTCTCCCTTCTTCTATTAAAAATCAATTTTTAAAAAGACAACATAAAGAGGAGGACCACAAAATGCACAGGTGGGGTCCCCCCAACACCTGCCTCTTTTTTTCTGTTCTGAACAGACTCATGGACTGGAGCAGACATGCAGCCTGTTGGGGGAGGGCTTAAGTCTCTGGGTAACGCAGGGCCAGCTCACTGTTTACCCGCCTGCCTGCCGGGCTTCTTTTCTGGCTGACCTCTGCCAGTGCCTGGGATCCCGCCTCTGCCACGGCCGCCAAACACACCTGCAGGACAGAAATGGGGGCTACATGGGAGCCAGGCTCCAGGGTATTCTAACCCCGAGTCTCCGTGACCCCCCTCTGTAAAGTGGGGAAAAGCAGGCTGAAAATCTGGGGTGGAGAGTCTGACCAGAGCTGGGTATGGGTGGTGGTCGAGAATTCCTCAGTGTGACAGAAGAGACCAGATCCCCCAGGTTGCAAAGGGTACGAGGAAGGATAGAGGAGGACCACAAGTCACATCGAGGCTTGGGTCAGGCTTCCTGGGAGAGGGACAGGGGCTGGGGTGAGGGCTTGGGCGATGGAGTGAGTGGAGCAGGAGCCAGGACAGGGGCAAGTCTCTGGCCAGGGGTGGAGCAGAGACCCCCCCAACTCTGAGGCTAAGGTGTACACTGGGGACCCAGGACCTCCCTCACACTAACACCATCCTGTAGGCCCAGCGACCAATGCTGGCACGGGTTGCCCCATATCACTTCTC